CCCCCCCCCCCCCCCCTAAATAGGAACACTGTAGGTTTGTGGCTGGGTTCGTACGTTCTGAAGCGTTTCATGATCTGATTTTTGTGTACATGCGTCTGTTGCAACATGTATCCATTTGAGGAAAAAACATGGAATTGATTTATGCCCGGGGACAAAATCCTCACATCCCCGGGTTCCCCGGCTGAAATCGGGGACGGATTCTACCCCGTTTTTGACCGTAGGGCGGTTTTGCGCACATGAAAAGAGCCAGCTCTAAGAGATTCATGCATAGTTGGTTCATTCTAGACACATATCGACTCCCTGAAAAGAAATTAGGACGAAAAACGTTGCGAAGGTAATGTAAGAATTCTCCGCGGGGACCTCAAGACCATTTCCCTGGTTTCACATTCATTCACCTTACACTCCCACAACGTGCCCTTTTGTGGGTAGGTGCTTTCTATGACAAGGAACGTTGTTGCAAAAAAAAAAATCCATGCATACCCGCGGGTACAAAATTGCTATATCCCCGGTTTCGCGGGAAAGTCAATGTATCGCCCACCCCCCTCCCACCGACCCCGGTGCTGGAGTGCACCCCAAGCATCTCTGCATAGCCCTAGAAACCACCCCAAGCGTCTACTAGGCACATCAATTTGACTGCAAGAACAAAATGTCGTCTGGAACTCTTTTGACCTCGTTACAAAGACTTCATACATTCAAGCATGAAAACTGGACCAGGCAACAAGCAGCTTGGCACTGCGGTGAGACTTCTCGCAGAAAATCGCACCTGCTTCCCACCACTTGAACGCCCCATCGAAAGGTCCTTTCAAGACGATCAGCTCAAGTCGCGAAGCAGCAAAAAAATCAATAGCCCTTCAGGCCCGGGGGCAGCATTTCAACGTCCCCGGGGTTCTGGAAAACCCCCTTGCCCCCCCCCTCCCCCCCCCCCCCGTGGGACGCTCGAAAACTATCCCCACAAGCAGTTGAAGCACAACCCTGGAATGCATATCGGCACCTCGACACTCAACTAACGTTTTCTGTATGTCTCACTCGCATGATTCATCCTTCACTCGAAAAAATAACGATAAACGTACGGCATCTATTAGTCTAGACTATACATCAACGATTGGTGTTGGGGTTCGTTGCCGTCCTCGAGAGGAAAAAGGGGCCACCGGCGGCGGCGGCTGAACCAAGGGAATCACCGCCCCTCTCGGCCGTCCCGCTCCTCCTTGGACACGAGCACCGGCCCCC